ATTGAGGGGGAAAATTTCCCGACGAGAACAAAGTGGGCGTGGTCGGACATCGCTTTAAATGCCTCGAAAGTGGTCTAGAGGGGGGAATCCCCCGAAATTTTGACAATTTAATGGTTTCAAACGCTTATTTAATCAATTTTAGAGTCTACAATATGTACAAAATACTTATAATTTTTTTTCTCCCCGACGAATTGTGGTTTCTCTCCCCGACCGGGGGGGGGGGGATCGCTCCCCGACGAGGGGGCCTGCCCCCTCCCCTGGCCAAACGCGGTGACACCCCTGTAAACGCCCCCTCACATATTTTTAAAGGGGAAAGGTTGGTCCCCTAACTTTTCGTGAGTCAAGAAGATATGCCTTAAAATTGTTGACATAAATGCATAAATGACCCAGGTTTTAACGGAAGAGCGCTGTACAGCCAGATGACATCTTATTTTATAGCAAGATACCGGTATCTCTGCCCACAAACATCTGATTTAGGCCTACCTATAATACTCGACTCGAGTGCGCGTGCCTTTATTACCGTATAATTTGAGAAGTATGGAAAAAGCGTGCAGAGATATAAGATTGAGTTTCGTCACGTGAAGTAGTATTTTCTATGGTACATCACAACGATTAATTAGATCGATGATGATGACTACTATATAAGAGTCATTATCCGGCAATCTAGAGGTACAATTTCTCCAAATTTTACCACCTTAGCCCCAACTGTGGTGGAGCTGAGAGACGTGTTTTAAAGTAAGTAAATACATCAAAGACAATGTTTTGAAGTTTTATTTTCTATGGTAACGTACATCACACATATATACTAATTAGATCTCCATGGTTGCCGAAAATAGCTGATAAAAGATCAGGAGAATTTGTTGGCGCTTCATTTTGACTATATTATAATGGTGATGTGTATGATGATGAATTTTACTATTTAAAAGTGTCATCTCCGGCAAACTTAAGGTACTATTTCCTCAAATTTCTCACCTCAGCCCGACCCATGGTGGGGCGGAGGTAAATGTGGCCACACGGCTTTAAGGTAGGTTGAGTATATTAAATACATCAAATAAAGTGTTTCTTTAGTTATATTTTCTATGGTACATCACTCGTATTAATTAGATCTATGTTGCTGCCGAAAATCCCTGATTACATATCAAGAGAAATTTGCTGGCGCTTCATCTAGACTAAATAATGATGGTGTTATAATGGTGAATTTTACTGTATATAAAAGTGTCATTTCCGGCCATCTAAAGGTACTATTTCCTCCAATTGTCTCACCTCGGCCCCAACCATGGTGGGACTGAGGTGGTTGTGGACTCACGGTTTTTACTCAAAGTAAATACATCAAAGAGAATGTTTTTAAGTTTTATGTGTACATTACACATACTAATTAGATATCTGCGGTTGCCGAAAATCGCTGATACTTTTGACTAAATGGTGATGTGATGATGAATTTTGCTAGATAAAAGTGCCATTTCCAGCCATCTACAGGTACTATTTCCTTAAATTTTTGCACGCACCACCTACCGCCAAATCCTGCATCCGTCCCAGTTACAGGCCTCCCTCCAATCACATACCACTTTCGGGACCGGTGATTCTATGGTCCCAAAGCCTTGGTCTTTACTGAGGAACATTAATATTACTGTACTTAGAGTGGATGAAGAGGTCCTTAATTAGAGAGAGACTCGTAGTTTACTCTCTTGTAAAATTGATTTGTTAATTTTAGATGATCAAACATTTTTAACATAAGACACAGATTGAAACAAATATGTCTATGCTGAATGCCATGCAATGTACGAAGCACCGAGCGGAGGTGGGTGGTGTTTCAGAATTTAGTCTAGAAATGCTTGCCCATGACATAGAATTTAAATCGAAAATTTAGCTTGTTTTGGAGTACCGTACTATTCTCTCCTTTCTTTTTTATTTCTTTCTTTTTTGTGGGGTGGACTATCACCCGTGGTCTCCTTGATCCGTCCTGATAGCTTTAGGTTTAAATGAAAGGGCTACTAGTTCATATGCACATGTCCTTCAGATAAAAAAGAAAAATGAATACTGTACTGATTATCGATAACATTAGGAATAGTTAGGTCTATTACAACTTACTTCGTGTATTGTTGTAGGTACATAGGAGTGGGTTTCGTCCAACTGATTCCTGGTCTCTTCCATTTCTGTCGTGTGCAAATGATTTCCAATTCCTAGTGACGTCATAATTTCTTCAAATCCTTCAATAAATGTATAAATTGCAAAAAATTGAACAGAGTAATTAATTAAACATAATGATTAATGTAAATACACACTTGACGGCACGGGACGCATCTTTGCCACATTTTATTATGTTTGCACTTTAATATATATACTGTATATATATATATATATATATATATATATATATATATATATATATATATATAATTTTTCGACCTGACCTCAGGTCAGGAGGACGACCTGTCTCTTATACACATCTAAACTGAGTTTTGGCAAACTGGGATT